AAGTTCCAGCTACGGCGCTGAGAGTTGGCGAAGGGGGGTAAGCGAACATGCTGATTACAAATATGATAACCATTTTCAAAAATGCCCATTACTTTTACTATTTTATCAGTTTGTTTGCAAATTTTGAACTACGGGGCTGGGAGTTGACAAGGGGGGTAAGCGAACATGCTGATTACGAATACAATATTAGTTTTTGAAATTATCAATTACTTTCATCATTTTATCGATTTTTTGCAAAGTTCCAGCTACGGCGCTGAGAGTTGGCACGGGGAGGTAAGCAAACATGCTGATTATGAACATGATAACCATTTTCAAAAATGCCCATTACTTTTATGATTTTATCAGTTTGTTTGCAAATTTTGAACTACGGGGTGGGAATTGACAAGGGGGGTAAGCGAACATGCTGATTACGAATACAATATTAGTTTTTAGAATTATCAATTACTTTTATCATTTTATCGATTTTTTGCAAAGTTCCAGCTACGGCGCTGAGAGTTGGCGAAGGGGGGTAAGCGAACATGCTGATTATGAACATGATAACCATTTTCAAAAATGCCCATTACTTTTATGATTTTATCAGTTTGTTTGCAAATTTTGAACTACGGGGCTGAGAGTTGACAAGGGGGGTAAGCGAACATGCTGATTACGAATACAATATTAGTTTTTAGAATTATCAATTACTTTTATCTTTTATCGATTTTTTTGCAAAGTTCGAGCTACGGTGCTGAGAGTTGGCACATGGGAGCAAGCGAGCATGCCGATTACGAATATCATTACCAATTCAGAAAATACCCATTACTTCTGTTGGCTTAATTGATTTTTTGCAATGTTTGAACCACGGCGCTGGGGATGTTGGTATAGGCAGGTAATTGAGCATGCTGCTCCCGAACACGTTCTTATTTTACAAGTTATCAATTACCTTCACTGGCTTTATCGATTTTTTGCAAAGTTTAAGCCACGAAACTGGGATTTGGCATATGGGAAAGAGCGAGCATGCCGATTACGATTGTAATAAGTGTTCTTGAAAGTACTATTATTTCTGTCCATTTTCTATTCTTTGTAAAATTAGAGCTACACGGCTGGTATTTGGCACAAAGTTGTGTGTGAGCACGCTCACTCCAAAGATAGTAACCGTTTTTGAAATTACCCATTACTTTTATCGATTTCATCTTTTTGGAAGCTGAAGCTACGAGGCTGAGATGGCACTGGTCCGGGGGTAAGTGAGCATGCTAAGAATTCTATAATCACACTCGGAATTGACCATGACGGTAAATTTACCTAAAGTTGTTATAGATTCACTTTGGCCCGCCTTTACCTTTTAAAATCCTACTTCTGCCCCTATAATCAGAAAAGCACAAAGAGCCTGGTCTCGGGGGAAGAAGAGGCTTATAAACTGAAGCGGCAAGAAATTTTCGCTAAGATTACAAGTCGATATCTAATTATACAGAAATTTCCTTGAAATTTACTTCTGTCCCTTCCACTTTGCAAAAACCATTCTGCCTCTGAAAGCAGAAAAGTGGTCTCTGGGAATGGACAGACCCATGAGCTTTATCCGATAGGACATTTTCACGGAAACTTTTGGTCCCCAAACTTCGCAAGAACCACAAACTCAAAAACCACACTTCTGGTTCTAAAAGCAAAAAAGATAGGGAACTTGGCCTCGAGGTAAGAAAGAATTATGGCTTCAGGCAGCGAGATATTTTCGCCAGAAGTTTCTGGGTGTCAATGATTATACAGAACTTGCTTAAAATTTACTTCTGGCCATTCTACTTTGCAAAAACCACACTTTTTCCTCTAAAAGCGAAACAGCACAGATAGCTTGGTTTTGAGGAAAACACAGAACCATGCGCTTCATGCGACAAACATTTTCGCCAAGGCGTTTGACCCTCTAGACTTCGCAAAAAACCAGTATTTCTGCCCCTAAAAGCAGAACAGCACAGGGAATTTAGTCTTTAGGGAAGGACAACCCATGAGTTTCATCCGACAGGACATTTTCGCTGAGACGTTTGACTCCCAAACTTCGCAAAAACCACAAAACCCAAACTACACTTCTGGCCCTAAAAGCGGAAAAACCACAAAACTCAAAAACCACACTTCTGGCCCTAAAAGCAAAAAAGCGCAAAAAGCTTGGTCTCGAGGGAAGAAAGAGTTATGGCCTCAGGCAGCAAGATATTTTTGCCAGAAATTTCTGGATGTCGATGCTTTTTATATAGAAACTTGTTTGAAGTTCGTGGCCATTCTGCTCTGCAAAACCCATACTTCTACCCTCAAAAGCAAAACAGCACAGATAGCTTGGTCTCGAAGGGAAGAGACTCATAAGCTCAGCCAGCAAGATACTTCCGCTAACATTTCTGGGTGTCACTTTTTATTCTACAAAAACTTGTTTGAAATTCTCCTGTGGCCATTCTGCTCTGCAAAAATCTGACTTCTGCCTCTGAAGGCAGAACAGTGAACTCGGGGGAAAGACAGACCCACGAGCTTCTTGCGACAGTAAATTATCTTTTCTGAAAATTTTGGCCTTTTGAACTTCGCTAAAGCCACACTTTTGCCTCTAGAAGCAAAAAAAAAACAGGGAGCTTGGTCTCGATGAAAAGACTCAGGGCTCAGGCAGCTAGATATTTGCGCTAAAAAATTTTAGGTTTCAATATTTAATCATAAAGAAACCTGCTGGAAAAACTACGGCCCCTTCTTCTCAACCATACTTTTGCCCCTAGAAGCGTAAGCATAAGGAGCTTGGTTTCGAGGGATGGAAACACCTAGGGTTTTATGCGACAGGACAGTTTCGGTAAGATTGTCCTTCAAAAGAAGGCGTTGGGCAATCTTTGGTCTGTTCTAAGAAATGAGTCCGTTTACTGGCAAGACATCGAAAAAAATACTGCTTCGTTTTTATCTACATATCTGAGTTTTCGGCTGCTGGAAGACATAACTTGACGCTTCCTTAACAGGGCACTTTCCCGGGAAACATGAGTTTTGGGATGAATCAGCTGTTCTAAACAGGTGCTTGGAGGTAGCTTCCTTGTTTAAGAGCCTTGGTATCTGGGCGAAGGTATCTGCAAGAGGAACAGCAGAGATGTTTTCCGGATAGTCACTGGTAGTAGTTTCTTTTCCAAGAGTATAGTGTTTTGTTTCTACTACCCACAACACACGAAAGGTCGCTGGGAAGATGAAAATTCTCTTTCTTGGGATTTTCAGTTAATTAATGGCAGATATCAATGTATCTGCCTCCACCCACTCACTAGCGACCCGTAGGGTCGCTAGTCTTATATATAAAGCTGAATGTCTGTTTGTATGTCTGTATGTATGTCTGTATGTATGTCTGTCTGTACGTATGTTCCGAATAGAAAATTCCATTTCTGAACCGATCCGAACCAAACTTGGCACACATACACTTCGGGCCCCGGCGGGTGTCATAGGCTACTTTTCGTCATCGATCGATATCGATTTTACCGATTTTTTGCAAAATTTGAGCTACAGGGCTGGGAGGTGGCACAGGGGGGTAATCGAGCATGCTGATTACAAATATATTATTGACAGGGCCGGGCAGAGCCGGGTAAGCCATCTAGTGTTTCATATTTTGAGATGTAGTTGTACGAAAAAATTTGAGAGTCAACGAATGCGATGGTGATTAGAAAAACCAGGTGGCTGTACAATTTTGTCCAGCTTTCAAAGAGGGCCTTTTCGAATTTTTTCGTTTTTCTCCGTTCAAACTCAACAAGACTGGAAGCCGTTTTGAGGATTCGTGGTAAATTCACATGCGCACAATCCAGCAAAGTTTCAGACAGATTCATTGCCGAGAACGAAAATTACGACGATTTTTATAGTGGCTTTATAATTATGTCCAGCACTGTAGTTACTGTTAGAAATATGGCGACTATATCGATAATATCTCCAGCCCACAGCCATTGTATGCACGAGATGTTCCAGGCGGCTATAGTTTTAGCCGCCATTGTCCCATACAAGAACTACAACACAGAATAATTTGCGTTGGAATGTGTTCCAAGAGATCATATAGAGGTTGCAGAAATCCATGTTATCTTGCTCAACTAAATTTAAATCGTAGAAGTGAATACATCAGATCCGTCATTAATTTTTTGAGGACAAGCTGCATCGATATATCAAAACTGAGCTGCCTAATCCCTGACTATCGAAAAACGTTGCCATTAACCTAATGAGTCGTTTGCTCGAAAGCAACTTACTGTAAACACTTCTTTATATAAAACCCCCCTATGAATGGCGCTGCAGATTTTCAACGAGCTATGCTGCAAGATTCAAGATAAATTTTATGAATGATATATAGGCGCAAAGCAAACATGATTTCAAATCAGAAACTGCAAGTGGATACGAAAAAAAATTGGAAACATGTGATGAGATACTAATCGAATCTTGCCTGAATTGATAATTACATTACAGCTAGTAAGAAGATTTTTCCCTTGAGAAAATCTTATATACATTTCTCTACATCTCATTCAAACTGCGTCCAGATTTTATCGTGCCAGCGCAAATTCCCACCATGCCAGCGCCGTGCTAGCACCGCGTCGAAGTCGATCAATACGAGACGCGTGCATGTGCTAGGCTCCAACACGGTGCTAGCACGGCGCGACATGGCGTTGGCACAAGTCCTGCTCGGAGCAACTCTAAACGCAGCCTTGAGCGCCGTTTGTCAGTTGAGGCAAAGTTGAGGCAAGAAAGACGTAGACGCTAATTCTAAAAAGTTTATTATCCTTTGAGTTCAAAAATATTTGTGATGATATAGCAATGGTAACGGGGGTTTTCGGGAAAATAGAGCGTAATCCTCTGCATCACAAACAGTTGTTGGAAAATAAGCAAACCTCATGGATTGGGTAGGTCAAAGTCCAACCCTCGAATTTATCGTCGACTTGATAACTAATCTTGGCTTACTGTATTTGACCATATATAGAAAAAGGTAATCACTATTATCTACGAAACGCGACAGTGAAACTCACTAAAACTAAGAATATAGCAAAACTGGGAATACTTACCACTTGAGGCACATATCCAGGCATTTGAAGTACAACTTTTGTAACGTCATCTTCTATTTGTCGCTTATGTAATGTTGTGAAAGCACTTGGACAGTACAATAATAACAGAAGTATGAAGCAGTACATACCTAAAAATATTTCAGCAATAATAACCCGAAAAAAAATTCCCTATGCCATAAATTCACAAATCCAAAAGCTTGAAAAAATCAGGTTGTCCTGAAAGTTCTGTCGTCATTTTTGAAAAAAAATTTGCAACTTTTTGCTATATTGACGGATTTGCTTCTTTGCAAATTTATTAAAGGGAAGATGTCTTCTTCTTTGTGAATAAATATTGACAAGCTTCTACTACGCACCAATTTTATTAAAAGAAAAAAGCCTTCTTCTTTGTAAATAATTATTGAGAAGCTTACTATGTACTCATTCCAGGATGAAAATGGGAAAAGAAAGTCATTCAAGTTTTGAGCATTTTACTTTAGGTCGCCAAAACTCTGTAACGTTGTAGAAAGATCTAAAATTCTTGGTACATAGATTTCATGCCCTATTCTTTCCAAAAAAAAGTTTGTGCTGTTTGGACATCTCTGCAGGAAAACGTCAAATTCAATAAATTTGTACTGACAACTTTACACAGAGACACCCAAACAGCACAATCTTCTCTCAGTTGCAAAGTGTAGGTCATAAAACTTATGTACGGACGATTGCAAACTTTTCACCTTTCAAATTAGCGGTCTAACTCAAAAGAACGAAGCCTTGATGATCTCTCTTTTTCAATTTAGCTCTGCATTAAGTGCATACTAGAAGCTTTTCTATACATTCACAGAGGAGACTTCTCTTCTGCAATAAAATTACAACGAAGCAAGTCTGTGGAGATAGGAAACCTACAATTTCTTAAAGAAGAAACGACAGAACTTTTGGGACGACCTGATAGCACAGTAGTGACAGTTGAGGGAAGTCTCCATGGTAATAAGCCGCGTTAGCTCACACTAACTAAAAAGATGTCAGGAGATTGAAAAGCCATTCTTTACTTCAGTTATATAATATTTTTATATATTATAATCAATGCAGATGCGAACAAAAGCAAACATAATCATCTGGACGTAGGAGGAGGTTCTAAAAATGTCATAATGCAAGGCCATTAGAGAAATTATAATCTAACGACAGGAATGAGTTGTCAGACTGTTGTTACCAGGGAATAAAATAGAATAGAACTTCTAGGAAAATGAACTGGTCTTGTTGTTCACTGAAAAAAAAAGAAGAAGAAATTTCCAAGCACTCTAATCTAAATCACAAATGTAATTCGTCTTTGCGAGATGAGGGACACTCATGGTCATTCAAAAAAGTAAGGCCAAGTCTAGAGTTGGCCGTGCGCAGAGCTTTATCAGCGTGCCAACACCGTTCCAGTGCAGTGCTGGCGTCGTAGAAAACCCACCCTAACCGTATCGATTGAACAATGTTGCGGCGTTGCCCTGTCACGGCGCTGGCACGAGCACAGACACAGCCTGAGTATACTATAGCATACATTTTTCATCTATGAAAAGAACCAAACAATATTTTTTGGGATCATATTTCATCCCCAACAAGTTTACTTTTCCAAATTTCTAATTTTTGTATTCTCGAACACAAAGAAACCCGCATACACTTTTATGACCTATTCATATATTTCATCTAAGGGAAGAACTAAACAGATCATATTGTATCACAATTTCCAAGAAGTTTACCTTCCTGAATTTTTGATTTTTGAATTCCCCGATCACAAAGAGTCCACATACACTTATCACCTATTCATATATTTCTGAAAGAACGAATTATGTTGCTATCACATCTTCTTCCCAAAAAGTTTACCTTCCTAAATTTCTAATTTTTGAATTCTCGATCACAAGAAACGCGCACACATTTTTATGACCTATTCATCAGTTATGAAATCTTAACAATTTCATACTTTTCTTACAGTTTGCGTAAGAGCACAGTTTCAAGATGCCACAATAGAACTGCATGTTCTTTTATCATTGCGACGTGAAACCTGTTTGATAAGCAAATGAATTTTTGCACAACGTTTGCAATGTTTACTCTCACAGATTCAAGAGAATTCTCGTTCTCTACCAAAATTTTTTTTCAATTTAGAACATGATTACAGTTTTCTTTTTCCACCTCACTAAGCACGTTCCCTTCTTCCAAGCTATCCCTTCAAAGTGGTCAACTCAATCCCTCTAAAACTGAAAAAATTCCGAAATTCAGCAATGCTTACATTTTCTTGTTCAATTTTGAACACCTAAGATTTCAAAAAATTCTTGAGTTATCGAAGCGTTTTAGTCTTTCCAAAATATCTCATCTTCATGTTTTTAAACGCTCAAAATCTTCTGCAAGCATGGTCCATAAAATTATTATTCCAATATAATCCAATATTTGAATGTGCTCTCAACATTTCTGCGCCCTCGTGCTAGGGGCGACAGGTTCCTAACCGGAGCGCTTACTTTTTCTGCATGTGAGCAGGGCCATCTCTCTTCTTGCCCTTCTAAACATAAATCTATTCGGCGAAGTGACGATTCTCGAGCGCATAGTGCGCTACGAAGAGTTCAGTGAACGGTCTCACAAAAGCTACAAGTACGCACATTTTCAGACGTCACCTCTTTTTGGCAATAACACTGCCATAGAAAGAGCCAACTATGGATTAATTCTAGCAGTAAGGATTTTCAATTTTTTAAAATAAAAATGTAATAGTAGCTAGGAGATTGAGTGGAGTGAAAACAGGCTCTCACTGCGCCCCAAATTGCCCGCGCCTATGCATCTAGCACTTACGCCAACGCCTTCCAGCACGGTGTTAGTGCCGTGCTTGTGCCTCGATCGATTAATAAAGGACGCATACACGAAATTCGGCATGGCACTGGCACGGAGCTGGCACGACACTGGCATATCTATGCCGCGCGAACTCTATACGCTGTTCAAAATAGCCAGACTAGTATCTGTAAGGTGCCAAGTCAAGAATTTTGTTTGTTCCAAGCGAAAGTGCAGGTGATCTAAAAGAAAATCGAAGTTCTCTATATTGATGACTAGCTGGCTTACCCGACTCCGCCGTATGTTCCGAATAGAAAATTTCATTTCTTAACCGATCCGGACCAAACTTGGCACACATACACTTCGGGCCCCGGCGGGTGTCACAGTCCACTTCTCGTTATCGATCAATGTCGATTTTATCGATTTTTTGCAAAATTTGAACTAGGGGGCTGAAATTTGGCAGAGGGGTGTAATCGAGCATGCTGATCACCCCCACGAAGGTGATCAGCATGCTCGATTACCCTCTGTGCCAATTCCCAGCCCCGTAGCTCAAATTTTGCAAAAAATCGATAAAATCGATATCGACCGATGACGAAAAGTAGCCTATGACACCCGCCGGGGCCCGAAGTGTATGTGTGCCAAGTTTGGTCCGGATCGGTTCAGAAATGGAATTTTCTATTCGAGACATACGTACAGACAGACAGACAGACAGACATACATACAGACAAACAGACATTCAGCTTTATATATAAGATTAGCAAACACTGAAAAAAACCAAATCATAACTTATGGGCAAGGCGACTATGACAAACAAATATCCGAATTCTTAAGAGAGCAAAAAAAAACCTTTTCGGTCATTTTCGATCTCTTCGAGAAAATCTGATATTACCAAAAAAAAAAAGAATCAGAGGATAGCATTTTGGGAAGAAGTTTTGTTTCGTCAAAGAAATGCCTACAAAAGCGAGATCGTTCAAACATCTGGGCGAACATTCCTTCAAAATTCACGTTCCGAGTAACAGAAAATCTGATTCAAAAGGCAGAATGGGTATTTATGCATATATTGATTTTCCAAAACATATTGGTGCGTCAGATTCGAGCAGTTTCAAATGTTTGAGAACACGATTTTTGCGCACAGTGAAAGAACTATTGCATTTTCTGACTACAAAAAATCCCAAACTACTTATCACAAACTCCACTGTTGTTCGCTGAGTACACAAAGCTCTTATGAATTTACCAAACTACTCGTTTATGGAATATACCATGAAGAAGAACCTTGTAAAATTCAAAAAAAAATTCTGTATAGTTATGCTTAATTATTGCTGGAATTTCTAATGTTTGATAAGTGATAGTAGAGACTTACAGTCCATCCACAAAAATTCGCTAATTAGCAGCTAAAAAAATTTTTGTACTTCCAAACGATGATCTTCAATAATACTAGTGTTTTAGGAAGACTGTCTGTCCCAGACAAGCAGTCCAAAATTAGGATGATGTAGTCATTTCTCTAACCATTCCGTTTAACGTGATTGGCAATATGCCAGTACTTGCGCGCGCACGAATAATACAAAAAAAAACATAGCGATGTGGATGCGCGGTTCCGATCCTTGGAGCGACCTTTTCCGATCGTAAGTTTAACACTCAATATCGAACCATGGTACTTTAGAATATCGAAAATCCAGAACTGCTATTCAGCGAAAAATGTCGTGCCCCTTTTTCTTTACTCGAAAACTCTGCAGCGCTGAAGCATAACTTTTTTACAAGAGGAAAATATTGACAGAAGAAGGAACGCCGCCACCTTACAGTAATTCGTGTACAAGACAAGACCACAGGAAGATCAAATCTCTAAATATATAAAGCAGAAAATCTGTGTGTCTGTGTGTCTTGCACATTTCCCATAGCCATGAAAGATAAGCGGTGAAGCTCATTTTGATCTGCTGGTCATCAAGACATGGTAAGAGGTAGGAAGGTAGGAAGCGAACCCAAGAACGTAGGAATCAAAAAAAAGTTAGGTTTCGCTACATGAGAGATCAAGTACGATGGACTGGCTCCGTACCGGGTGGAACCCGGGATGCCAGCTCGTATAGGATATTACCGAAATTCGAAAATGTCTATCTATAAGCCTGAAATAAAACTTCGTATTATATGAGATTAGAAGAAGACTAGACATTATTTCAACATACTTTCAACGACGGTTGGTGAAAGGCGTCTGTTTTTATGAGATTTGTAGCGAATAAGCAGCCCTACTATGAGTAATACGAAGATCTATGCACGAATTAGTCAGCAGCCAAATTCAGAAGTAGGAATTAAGAACATTGAGTTTGTTCAAGTTAGATTCTGACTACAGTCATCCGCATTCTTCGTGACAGGATTGCCCCATGCAAACAATATGGAAAAAAATTATATATCACGACTGAACGTTCTAGAGCCCGTAATAAAAACAAAAACCATTTTTTTGGTTGATTGCTTTAGTGGATACCAAGCTTGATACAGATCCTTACCGCACAGAATATACAGACTGACATTTCGGCTTCTCTTCTTCAGAGTCTGGAAAGTCGAAGACACATAAGTAAACTATTCGATCAAACACCTTGTCGACTACAGAAAAGAAACCATTCTTCAATAGATACACCCATAATCGAGCTATTATTAGAGTATTGATGAGAAATACAGCGGATGAGACGCACGCTCCGAACACTTTTTCAGAAGTCAATCAATACTCGAAGTCATGACCGACGAATTACCCTAACCAAGGACGGTATGGAAAGCATGCAAAGAGCAAGATATGCACATTCGAGTGACAAGAGAAGAAGTTGCACGACTGAATTCTAGGCCGTTATGAAGAAGTAAGAGGCTCAAGGACTCACCGAAGTGCCCAGCCCCCACGACGAATCAAATCAGGTTTGTTTGTTGTCATTTCGTTCAGAACGTGCAAAACTCGAACGTTTCTCTACAAAACCATACAATTTACCTAACTCAACTCTATGACATGTGACTTTTGAATGATGAGCTTACCTACACAGGCCTCTGCCAAGATTCTGGAAAATACAAAAACGATTAGGCCGCTTTCGAGCTCACAATGCAACATTCCAACCATATTTCTATCTCCATTATGTGAACCATCGTGACAGGTCAATTTTTCAGTTTCTTTATTCGTGGGCATGACATACATTTCGTTGTATTCTCCATCAACCGCGGATTCTGAACAACTAGTTGCATCAGGGCCACAAACTAAAAAAAGGACACATTTACGTTGAGGTCAAATACGAAGTGACGTGATTTATGCTCCAGTGCTTCTGTTAAAAAAAAAGATATTATAAAATGAGTATCAAACCATTATGTTGATCTCGGAATGAGGTGAGAAAAGAAATGCTGATGATCACCGTAGAATCAGTCATTTTCTTTTTTGAGCAAGTGTAGCAGAGAGTCGCTTGCACGAAATTGCCCGGGTTGTTGTAGGCTGAACGCACGCGAGCGTGCCTGCAGCGCGGCTGCTGAGTACGGGCGCTATGACGTCTCATGCGCGCGAATGCTAATGTGAGCGCGCAAAAGACACGCTCGCGGGCGTTCATTCCCTTGCGATTCCGTGCAATCAACTCTAGCATACTGCTACTGTAGCAAGTAGCACGTTTAGATTGAATCTACGATACTCTTATCTTAGCTGTAGTGCGCTCGACAGAGGAGGTGTTGCAATTTCTCACAATTCAAATTGCAAAATGGTCATGCAAAAACCAAAAAGGCTACATATTCTCAATTAGTGTTGAAGTAAAACAAATCAGAGTAAAATCTACGATAAAACATGTTCGTTATGTCTAATCTTAAACTTGTTGAGCAGGACGTTAAGTTCGGAACTGCACCTTCTTTTCATTTTTGAACATATTTTTTCAAATTCAGTGATAAGATTTTGTTTCGACTAACACTGACACAAAAAAGGAAAGCTGGGTGAAAGAGATTCTGGCTCACGCTAATCCAGCTTGTCTAGCCTTGATCTCTGATTGAGAGACGCTAATCTAAAAGTGCGTAGCATGGCAAAAGTCATTCGAGCACCTGCAGTACTTCTTCTTATATCTTCTTGTCTACAAAAAAAAGCGCTGTTCGATAACACCGAAGAACTTACAACAATAAGAAGACGCTACGACATCAAAAGCCTTGCTTTTCCGCCATCTTGGTAGCCCTTTCGCTGCACGCCGGATCTATGTCCCCATAGATAGATATTCCATCGGTATCCTGACAAGGGTTTATGCTGCGTTTGTTTCGTTTTAAATCACTAAGGGTGGCTTCGTATTGATCGAAGTTCCGGAACAGTTCCAGAACAGTTCTCGCATTGTGCAGGAACTGTTCCGGAACTGTGTTGCATGCGCTGCAGCCGCGCGCATGCGGTTTTGAGCGGCGGGAGTTAGAAATTTTTGATCGCTTCAACGGTTTCCTTCTCTTAAAAACCCCTCATTTCGGCCTCAATCTTCTACTCGTCTTCCCCATTTGATGAGATGAGCTTCGATCTTGAAGGGAGTTGGAGAGTAGGCGCCGTACCGCTACATTTTATCCGAGAAGGTGTGCCTTCGCGTACTTGTTTTTCTTTCGTTAGTTCTGTACATACCTACTTCATGTGTTCCAGAAAGCCGTTGCACAGTTTCCACAGCCATCTGTCTTGAGGCAAGGATGCGTGAATCTAAGAGAAATAGCGGTGAAAACGGTCAAAAATCGCTAACTCTCCAGCTCAAACCGCATGCGGGAGTGCGACAACGGTGCTGGAACTGTTCCGGAACTTCTGGATCAGTGTGAACGTAGCCTAAGGATTTTTGTGATGTGCGCGTGTTTCTGCTTTCGAAAATGCACGTTGCTATAAACTCTACTTACATTTTTGAAATTTTTTATTCTCTGCAATCGTTCAGCCACAACTTGCAGAACGCCTTATTTTCTGTGATAACTCAACTCAACTTACAGCTATAAACTCTACTTCAGCTTGATTCGGGTTCATGCTGCGTCTGATAAACGTGTGGGAGATTTTGTGAAGTGTAGATACGTGCTATCGATGTATAAATGTTTCTAGCTACAGAAATATACTCCATCGGTAAGCCTGATATGGGTTGTTGCATTTAATGAACTTTCAAGAAATTTTGGAATAGTTGTTCGTAGTAGGAGCGCAAAGGTGGATCCTATTCGCTTTCGAGAAGTTTGAGTGGGTAACGAAGGGTGGGGGACATTAGGTCGCCGAAAAAGGGCGGTCTCCGCGGTCATTTGCGACAAATACGCACCCTTGTACAGTCGGTTTCATCCCGGATTAGGCGAGACATATTACGTGGAGCAGCGCATGCGCATCGCTGGAGGCTTCGCGAGCGCATAGCGCTGGCATTTTTCCAAGCAAAGACTAAGGAGATTGAAGAGACGCAGACATGGATTCTCAGCACGATAAGATATACTGTAGCTGCGAAACGGCGCGAGCTGTTGCGAGGCGGACTCCCGCCAGTCCAATTTCCGCCTAAAGCGGGTCGAAACTTACTGTACATGCGCGGACATGCGTTCCTGCAGGGAATCCGCGCGGGACTCTTCCAAATTCGGCGACCTAATGTCCTCCACCCGGTAACTAATCAACTCAGCTACATGGAAAGTGCGACAAGGCATACACCATTCACACGAGTAAATATGATAGTGGCAGCTAACATTCTCAGCAATATGGTGGTTGACATTTTGAATGCTGTCGTCCTAAGAGAATCATTACAGTAGTGCTGTTAGCTGCACTTTTTTTTTGAGCACTTGCATATTTGAAGGAATATCAGGAAACTGTCTTTTACTTATTGCAAGGACTGAGAAGACCATATGATAGCCAGCCCCTCACTTACGCCGTTTTTGTCCCCTCAGCACCGCTTTTTCAACAGATATAAACATAGGTGGCTTGTCTCGAAGAGATGCTTCAAGTATCGTTGATTCATCAAGCGCACGGACTGCTCAAACGCTGCGGACCACGCACGGTGCGGGCGGATTGTCGCGCGAGCGCGACTTGTACAATGGCGAATTGTACTGGGGCAAGCGATTTACCTCCCGGCGCATGCTCCGGGCTTGAGATATACCTGACGATGCAAGGGAGTTACATATGCACAATGTAGCATTTTTCAGTTTCTTCTTACTGCAAACTCCGTTATCTACACACTGCCAAAGTCCCATGATATGCCTGACCTGTTTTGCGCCAGTATGTTCCTGCGATGTTCAAAAAATCGATTTGCATGAACTCTTCTTCTGCTTCTAAGCTGACAAATAGAAAGGAGTTTTGGAGCACTTTCAAATAAACCTGGGAGAAGATGACTTATAGCAAAATTCGTTGAATAAAGCTAACCTTATTGTTAGTCATAAATCTTTGATGAGGGTCTTCTCACCCACCAGAAAGCAATCTCGAATCGAGGATAAGTTCGGATCCTGAAGTTCGGATACGCAACTATCCAAACAAACCTAACAATCACATACGTGTCCTTTTGTGATCACCAACAACTCTACAAACGGAACTGAATAGTTTAATTTTTCCAAAACGCACTACATATGCACTGTATTTGGAAATGTTCGCTAGAAAGTAACTAAACTGGGAAATCGTAAAAGATTTATCTTCCATGAAATTCAACTCAAATGAATCTTACAGAGAACTCTATTCGCCCAGTAATGCGCGATGATATTGTATACAACATTCGAAAATTAAAAAAAACGACTTATTTTATTTCATTTGCGAGTTGGTTTGTTGCAAATCGAGAGATAAAGAATTTAATACTGCGTCATATCATAACAAGTGACAAATTCTCAAACTGAGAATAAAGTCAAGAAAATGAATAAACAAAGAGGAAAGCATGGAAGTCGATGAAGAACTATGGCGAGTCATATAATACAACAAGCTCAGCCGGAGGCATAGTTGAAAGAAATAGAGTTGTCTTGCATTTGTCAAATCTCGATGTTTTTGACAAGTTATGCAAACTAAAACGATGAAAAGTAGCTAGAGTTGAATGAGTCCTATAAATTGAGTACTTACACTAGAAGAAATGATATGCGGATTTGATCCAAATTCACAACAATGGTATCACAATGAATGAATAGCATCACAACCACGAATAGCTCTAACAAGAATGAAAAAAAAATGCAGGGAAAAAATAGCAACCTTTAGACCTGTATGATCAAGGATAAGTAATAAGCATCTATACAGGGACTCTAGAAAGATTATTCACTGTCAGAGTCGCTTACTAATCCGACCGTTTCATCCGTACTAAGTGGTTTGAAACCCTGCAATACACAAATTCTCGAGATGGAGACTAAAAACCATGTGACTATTGAAATTCGTGTAAATACCAAATATGTGAAAGACATTTCCAAAACTACCGATAAAGCAATTCGTGAATGAGCAAAGATTTGAGCGCTTCCAAGAATTCCGTCTGATTTTTCCATTGGCTTTGTTCACACTTCTGGCTTGAGAAGAGGATAGGAAAATTCAATCAGTGATTGAAAAATACTGTACTTTGTCATTTTTTTGCATGCTGGCGAAAACGGAGAACTCTGAGCTGGGTTTCTATCCTTATGATACATTCAATAAATAAGATTAAAACCACCATAAAAAAATTCGACTGCGAAAAAAAACTTGACAATCGGAATGCAGTTGAAAATTTTCCAAAACCATGAAGTGCCTACTATTCTCGAGATGACATACCTTCTTATCAAACTTTTCGACACCTCGTTTTGAAGCCGCCCTTCTGCGCATGACGACGAATCCAGCAGCAAGCATTGCAAATGCAATTGCTAACAAAATAAACGACACTCCCTTCGCTGTCTTGGATGCAGCATGGAATGCGCTCGAAAAAGCGTACGAACTATGTGAAGATATCGTGGGACTTCCTTCGCGCTGCATCTGAAGTTGAAACGAATAAGATGGTAAAAGAAAAATCAAAAGTAATGAAGAGCACACCCTGAACATAAACAATGTGGGCTTAGAAATGTCTCCAACTGCAATACGGTCTCCACTAGGTGATACACGAAGTGCGTGAGCTTGGCCAAAAGGATGACTGGTAGGCCCGAAACCGTACTCAATGAGGCCAGTGCCAGCCCGACCGACAAATACACGAGCAGGGCCCTAAATCAAAAACATTCTTCTAAAGAGAAAACCGCAAGACAAGAGTGTGTAGTTCGCATAAAAACAGTAAACCCACAACTTCACGATCAGCTCGTCCAGGGACCATGAAAACGTAATCATTGTATGTATCTACAGAGTAGATGTTTGTGAAAAGGCTGAAAACGATAAATTATACTGTTAAGGGAAGATAAAAAGCAAAACTTGTACCTAGCAGCCCATTGCATTATAAAATCTCCCGTTATAGACAACTCTTGCACTCTTCCGTTCTCACGGTCAGCCACAAACAAATGGCCGCCGCCAGCCGATGAGGCAACGATATCATGCGGAAGAGCAAATTGAGCTGGACCATTGCCAGGCAGACCAAACTGGCCCTGAAACAAATTCCACAGCTGAAACCTCATTTCAATAAAATAAAATCGACATACCATTCTTTTTGCAGTAGCAGCGTCTAGTTGTACGATGCGGCTGTTGCAGTATCCGTCAGCGACGAAAACACCATCGTCGGTTTTGACAACACCAGCTGGCTTGCAGAAATGGTTTGCGTCGGCATCCGGTAACATTTTATGTCCACTCTCCCAAACCAGATCAAGGTCTGTAATCAAATTTATTTGAATACCGCGATGATGTCAAGAGCATCCCAATCATGAACATTTCAAAAGTTTCAAATCGGCTTCGCATGAGCTGACTAGCAAAAAAAAAACTTTTTTGATACTTCCGGGGAGTGTGCCTTATCATTCGCGCGACAATTTTTTCTGGTCGTTGGTAAAAAAGTGACCTCAATGAGAAAAGAAAAAAGTTTGCATAAAAAACCAGAGAAAGTACAAAAAGATGTGATACCATCGATCAAAATCCCTAACGTCCAAAGACCACCCGCTATAAAACTCACCGTTTCCATTGATCCTCCATTTCGCTACAGTATGCGATCCTACGTCTGTAGTATACAAATAGCCATCCCGGTCTACATGGATTCCATGTGGCATATAGAATCTGCAAATCACACCAATTTCTTTTTTATTTTTGCAGTTTTATTACAAAGCTATATGAATAGAGGGTAATAAATGATTTTTGGACGAGTAATACATATTTGAAAGTCTTCTTTTCGTCTTCTCAAACTAAAGATTCATGCACACACACAAAAATACAAAAACCAAAAAATCGCCTTGATCCAAAACTTGGAAAAAAAACTTGACTTGCCTGTTCCTTCCTAGCTTCTTTAGTAGACGAGTTTCATTACCGTTGAAGCTAACAATCAAAATCACATCGTCCTTGATTGGCAGTCTATTTTCACCCATCAGCACATTATACTGATCAAATGAGCTGCAAAATAATCGCTTTGTGACAAAATCGTCAAGAACTCAAAGTGGAACTCGTACTTTTGATCCCACACTCGGTCCGCTCTATGGAAGATGACTAGAGTGTTCTCATCTTGGAATGATAAGCCACCAATCTGGCCTAGTTTCACACCTCCGATGCTTGTAAACGCTCCTTCTTCGACTACCCCGAAAGGTACCTGTTTTGGACCAGTCTAAAGCATGTAAGCCATGAAAAAAACTTGCTGTCTATGAGCTTTGCGACACCAAAGACAAACGATGCCTGTGATAAGACATTCTGAGCTTCGCAACCATCTGGTTGGACTATATATAGCATGTTACTGAACCTGAATCCAAATGGAAAAAAAAAATTTTGTAGACGATAGGCAAGACAATTACATCAAGTACCAAAGGTTTTGATTTAGGCTACATTACAGCAAGAAGCTTACAGATACTTCAGTATAACGTCAATCTACATAAAATTTATAGAAAATAAAAATTTTTTTTAGCGCAACACACAAATTGTCTGGTAATTTGGATTTTAGATTCAAATGCAAATAAGAATTTCCTCCGCTCTCCTCATACATACCCTCATATGAAGGGGAGGGGGGATGCCTATTTTGTAAAATTTGCATTTAACAAGCAAATGACAGCAACTAATATTTCTGTATGGCGTCAAAAACAGTATAGACAGCGTTTAACATCAAAACTCAATTCGTAAATAACATACCGAGCTTTGATGTGCATGATGCTCAAGTTCCGGTCGTGATGGTAGTAATTGTGTGCCTTCTTTAGGATAACCGTTTTGCATTTCTTCCTAAAATATTAGAATATTTAATATCAGAACAGGAACGGTGACTTACAATTCGATCGCGGCCTGCGCAGATAGCTCCCCATGGGAATGGATTTTCTTCACTGGCATTGTAGTAGAACATCATGTAAAAGTTGCACATCTCATTGACTCCCATAGACCTGAAATGTAAGCACGCATTTTAATTGTAGTGGGTTCAGGACAGCACTATTTGATAATTTCTATTATTATTTGTGCCTCTTGATAAAGCTGGCTTTGTAAACGGCATCAGTTCATTCACTGTTCTTTGCTTGTTATTCTACAACGAAAAAGAGATCCAATCCCTTTGACCGTTTCAATTTCTTCAAGCATACTGATGCAGCGGCGATTGTTGCAATCTTGGGACGATCTTTGTGTTCAACAATAGTCCGCATTATTCTCGACAACAAAGGACTGGGCATCCAGGGCCGCTTGGAGACGTATATGTACATCGCTAACAACACACAACGATCTGATGGTATTAATATATACAAATCCCCAATCGCGTCTCAAAAAAATCAATCTCTCCCTAATGCCCAAAAGCCAATGATCCTCTACCCTCAGTCACGTCCGTGACACTGACAGCCACCACAGTGGAACCGCGGGTCTGTCCTCTCCGAGTGTCAACAAAACCCTTATGTGACAGGAAATCAGCGATGGTACTCCATCCAGCTTTATTTGCAAAGCCTTTTTAAACGAAGTAGGACTGTCTCTTATCAAAGAAATCAGTCCACATACAAGCGCGCTATATGCTCAGATTGTGAAAGCGATCTAAAAGGTTGAGGAATGAGCTCAGGACCAAATCGAGGCCACTGCTCGCAGATACCAGACCAACAAAAAAAAGTTATAAATATTTGTTTAGCTGATCATTCTACTGAAGACCACGTAAGAAAGGTGAAGGGAGACTCACCCCATAGACACTGCAACTTTCTTGTCATGTGAATCGAAACGGCACGTTGATGCCATCAGATCTCCTTTCTTGATCACTGGATTGTGGGTGATAGTCTCGAACAACTGAAACAAACATTGTATTTGTGTTCATGAGAATATTGAAGAGAGAGTTCTTTAGAAAAGCCAGCTACTGGGGTGAGAAATTAAAAGTAACCCCACGGGTAATCCTACCTGAGGCCATTGCGGATTTCTAACTCCAATTTTGTTCCATTGTCCATCATGTTTGTAAAATGCTGACACCACTCGTCCCATAGCATGAGTATGTGTTCGGAAAGCAAACGGATGCAGGTCGATTTCCTTGTCGTACTCACAGCTTGTATTAATCTACAGGAGATGATTTATACAGGGCGCGCTGTAGTTGCGTACTAATCACCTGAACTTGGCTTCTCATTGGAGGTATAGGCTCGCCAGAGACAAAAAGAAGAACAGCAGCAAGATTGGCCGGCTTTTTATGAGTCATATGCAGCGTGACTCCCGAAAAGTCGACTACATCTCCACCAAAAGGTTGAGCATAATGAACCTAAACATTACCACTTCTTTTGGTATGACCAGAATCAAGACGAAGCACGTGTTTTGATGATTATCTTAGAGATAATCTCTGACTCACTATGCGCAAATTGGAAGGCTTTGGCAGCAGAAGCTCGCAAGTTTCAATTTCGCGATTTCGCATACATTTCGATTGCATCTAAGATCGTCTACCAATCATATATGTAAACACTGCCAACAACTAGAAATGCCGGACCTTTCCGTTATCACAAAAATTTCACGTTGCGAATTCCTTTCCTTATCACACAAGGAAGTGTCAGTCTACGAAAAAAGAGCTAGCTCAATCTACATCAGCTGATGTACATTTATCTACCTATCGAAAAACAGTCATATGTTCTTCAAAGTCTATTGACAATACTCTCGCGTTAAGGAAAAAGCGCCGAAAAGCGGAGTGAACTTCGTAAGCAGACTTTGCTTATGCACAGTACAATTTTCCCACACCAGCATTATTCACAGTGCATGTGATAGCAACAATCGGAACAATAATAATATCGCAACATGTGCATGACGAATTGCAAATGCCCTTGTATAATACGTTTAATAGCTCTATACAAATCGCATTCAGCACCTTGTAACAATTACGTTAACAATGGTGATTTTTTGAAAAAAAAAGAGTACAGTAAATAGAAAAGGGAACAATTTGCAAAGCTCACCTGCATCACAAAATGCTTGATGCCATCCTCTTCATGCCCGACACTGAATGCTACATTATTTGGTAGCACAAGACTCGGTGCTGAAAAGATCAACCATTCCATTATCCTGCTATTTACAATTCCCCATGCTTACCATTTCTTGCCCAAGCATAGAGGATATGCGTTGCACCGACTCCGCATGTATCGCCTCCTTTCCAAAATGCATTAGGACGTGCCGGTTCGGCGCATCCATAGAGCAATATGTGATGTATTCGATCGGCATGTGCAAGCGGCTCGAAGCCGACTGAAATGAGATGCTTTCGTAAATAATAACCCTCCATATCTAACAAATAGATCTTACTTATATAGCCCTCGGGTGCTGGCCGTGCGACTGCGACATAATCATCGTGCTAAAGAAAAACAATCAGTTTCACCAACCACAATTAACTACAATTCATGAAAATTTATGGTAACTGCTATAAAACACGACCTCAACAAAAACTAGAGCAATCCAAACGGGATTCGTAACAGAAACTGGTAGTAAAGCTGTGGCTACGCATCTATGGCTGTTCAATGATTTGTGTCTGATGCCTTTCAGCATCCATGAATGTCGACGTATAATTGTATCACAATATATAACTATGCAATTACTTTTTCTTTCCTTTCCCAACGTAATACGTTGGATGCGGGAGAAAAACAGAGCAGGAGAGAATTCAGAGAAAAGGAAAATTTTGATTCCAGCAAAAAGGAAAAGTTTTGGTAAGCTTGTCCACAAAATCTTTTGCTATCCTCTCACCTTTACAATCACAATTTTTCACTGGAAAATCCATCAATACTGGAACAATAAGAATAAACACTCGGAAACGATGTTGAAACAGAAAGCATTGACGAGAACTAGTTTTCCAGCAAATTCTTTTGCTAAAGTGACAGGCGTGACGATATAGTTCTTGGAGCTAGCACGTTAAGGGACTTACACTTTCTTATAAATCGCAGATAATACGCTATGATAATTTGAGAAGCGCCAAGTTTGAATGAGCAAAACCAAAGCAATAAGTTTTGAGATCAAGAGTTGATGCATTTTCCCCGATAAAATAGGCCTGACACTGAAATTTTACCGTTTTGCCAATTTCATCATCAGCAAAAACTAAACTTCGTTGTTTTGCGTCTATTAGTTGAGCGCTTAAAAGAAAATGCTTCCTACCCAGTCTTGAAAGAAATTGTTCTTCAAAGATAGGTGCTTCTCTATTTATGAATAAGGATATGCATTTATGAATATTTATGAATGAAATAAATCAGAGAAAACAAATGGAGCTACAATTACAGGGCAAAAATTACAACCAACTAAAAAAAATTACTACCGTCAAAACTAATTGTCAACAAAATGAGAAGAAAAACTGATATTTCGGGAAAATGCCCTTACCTGCGTAGGTGAGTAGCCAATCATCTGTATGGTAAATTTACCAACTTCTGGTTGTAACTCTTGCTTTCTTGATACTGAAGCAGCATTTGCACAATATAATAGAAACACCAGACGATACATCCCTGAAAGCGAAATCCTATCATTTGGCACAACCATATATGAGATAACGCTTTAGAAGACGAGAAGGAGATGGAATTCGCATAAACAATCCCATGGATACCACATTTAAGTGAAGCCTACGAATATAGTGCATGCAGGATATCGACAATGTCTGACTACCGACTATGACGTCATCTCGCCCACCGATGCGCAAACAGAACCTCGGGGAGATGAAGGCGCTATGAAGAAATGGAGTCTGGGTAATGCAATTTTGATAAAAACAAATTGCCTTGTCTAGGAAAAATAAATGGTCACACTTTTCTAGACCACACCAATTTACAACAAATGACAAAATTAATTAGCAAGGTAATGAGGAGGTAATTCATAAATAATAAAAAAAAACTGTAGCAAACAAAACGCTAACGAACTATAAGACATTCAGAAAATTCAATGACTTACCTACTACTGAAAAGGCTCTGGAATTCTGATGCCTTAGTTATTGAGCAGTCGCGATAACTAACTCTAACGTACGATGAGATCAATAACCCCATAGAAGAAATAAAAAATGCTCTAAGGTCTCGATGAAACTAATTTGTCATTGATAGCTGCCTTCGCCACAAAAAAAATGAGACATGAAAGATTGCGCGAACTAGTCACGAACTTGCACTAATGAAGACAGTGAGATCAACATATTTACGAGTAAAGTCAAAATGCTTCGTCCCGATAAAAGCCAGATTTGTAGCAATCATGATTCCCTTATCTCATCGAAATGCACATAAAAACCCTTCGCGTGTCAAAGGAACATTAACGGAAGTGCGATATTATGCATTCCTAACATGTTTCCGAAGGTTAAAGTCTGTCTTATCTACTTCTATTTTTATATTTTGGCTTGGAAAGTTCAAAGAAATGCTATATATAGCTTTTATGCAAGACATTCGAATGTACAATTGATGGCTATTGTTCGTAAAGAGCCAAAGAGACTCGAAAACATCATGGCGGGGCTTAGGCTACAGATGACGTGCTCACATGCACGTCATGCAAGTAAGGAGCGAAATCTAGGATAGAAAAAATGTGATAAGCTTCATCTTCTCTCATCTATATTGGGGAGCAAGGAGAGTTAGATGCCCACTTGGACACATTCGAGTAAATCTACGAGCATATACAATAGATTTTTTATATGTTAGATGATTACTTCTTTCAAGATTGGCTAATTCGGATGTTTTCTTTTTCTTTTATGACCATGGTTATTTTGTAATTTCAATTTTTACGATAATGAAATATGGATAGACAAACAGATGAAAATTCGAGATAACAATAAGTATATGAATAAATAAATAAATGCAATGTCCCCAACATAATCCAAGTTTGGAATGCCCAGTAGTATACGTGGTAGTCTCAAAATTCATTACCATAAATAGTTCACCATGAGAAAGTACGGAAGATGACATCAACTATTTTTGAGATTGAAACGCGACAACTCAAAAAAAAATGCTCTTACGTCAGCCAAAGACAATTAAGCAAAGTGGAATTCGTGATCGCAGACACAAAGACCTTTGTTGATGAGACTGTTTTGTGAAAGCCTTTTCTAGAAAAGGTCACATCAACCTAATTAGTTAGCTCAGTACTGCTTTGCACGATTACAAAGGCATACATAATAATGTAAAAAAAACGGTAGAACAGAAATTCATCTCGTGCTAGAGCATCCGATCGCAGTAAGTATCCGGAAACGTATTTCGGTTTTACTTCGAAAATGTACGACAAATTGCTAATAATTAGATAGAACAAAAGTACTACTTTGTGATGAATAAGAGATGAACGAGCTGAGTAAGGCCCGTATCCACGTACATCCCCGCGGGGAGGGGAGGGGATCTGAGAGGGGAAGCGTCATATCTCGCTAGTTTATGTATCTTTCTTCTTCTTTCTCTGTCTTATTTTTGAAAGTTCTCATACACTGATACCTGCGCATAACGGATGCCAGGTTACTGCCATACAAGATTAGATATTCCCTATTTCGTCTGATCCCTGGTGATCCCCAGGGGTTCACCTCACATTTTCAAAGTCATTTATCTCCCTGAAAACTCAATAAAACTCCTGCAAAATTGTACTGAAGATATACTACGATACTGCTGAGCATGTTTTCGACAGAAGAGATGGATTATGAAGATTTTGTTTTTTTCGATAATCCCTGGCTCGCGAGCAGCGGTTCATCGAAAATTTTGATATCTTGAGATTTCACTCATTTCTACCATAAGCATGTTTAGCACTGCTGTAGTATATCCTCAGTACATTTTACAGCATTTTCAGTGAATTTTCAGGAAGATGACTTTGAAAATGTGCGGTGATCCCCTGGGGATCCCCAGGGGATCAGAAGAAATAGTGAATATCTAATCTAGTAAGGCAGTAACCTGGCATCCGTTATGTGCAGGTATCAGTGTGTGAGAACCTGCAAAAGCAAGGCAGAGAAAGAAGAAGAAACATATATAAACTAGCGAGATATGACGCTTCCCCTCTCAGATCCCCTCCCCTCCCCGCGGGGATGTACGTGCATACGGGCCTAAAAGAAAATAACTTCAAAAACTCGGAGTAAAAATATAGGAATTGTAATATGGGCGAATAATTAGGATTTATGTCACTAAGCAACAGAGCTCGGCAGCTGGCACTTAGTCAAGGCGGATTTCTTTTTTGAGACAAAAAGCAAAGGGATGTCGTTTTTGTGGCCGAAAAGACACAAAAATTGCAACGTTTTTGAGGGTTTCTAGGCTTGGAGTTTAAGGTCAAACAGACCTTCGTACAAATTTTCAAAATCAAATGAGATTTCGTTTTTGAAATTTCCTTGGTGCCAGCTCGTGCCGAGACCTGCTAAGCAATGCTACTAGTGCAATCTCTCGATTTTCCAACATCCGATGAAATTAGAAGCATTTCATAGCGCAACGGTGAGATCTCGCCCTAATCAGGAAACAACTTTTTTTTTACTACTTCATGATAAGTCAAAAACGGATGGATTTGTCTGGAAAAAGGATAGTACACATCTAAGGAGTTCTAAATGCGCATGGAGGGACTTTAGAGCAAACAGAGGGTGCTCTGTAGTTTTTGTCGATTCAGTTCCTCATCGATCACATCCTGCTTAGCTCCCCCAACCCTGCACAATGGATGTGTAAATGTGTAATAAACAACCAGAATCGTCAAACAACCGGAATAATTAGGCATAACAACAAAAGATGGATAGAAAGCAAGCAGTATTTTTATGTAGTAATACATCCTCCTACACTCCACATTTACTCAGCAGAGTCTCCCAGAATTCAAACAAAACTTTTATGGATGTAAATCATACAGATGAACTGCTGTTCACACTATTCAATATTTATGAAGCGCAGCTGTAGCAGCTGACCAATGGAAAAAGAGACGATGTAAAAGACTACGCTTTGGGTATAGGCTATAGTCACTGATTCGTTAAACTTCGAAAAATTAGACTAACGCAGATTTGGAAAAAAGTTAGGTCACGCGTGCATAAGAAGACTGATAAGGACCTAGAATAACGCAAACACGCAGTTGTGAGAAAAGCAGGTTGATAATCGCAAAACGAACAACAAACGACAAATTTCCAAGCTTTTAGTTACCTGTTCCATATTGGGTATATAATTCGTAACTTTAGAAAATCGAAGTAAGGACAGCATGCGCATGATCGGTTGACCTGGATAGCAGCTCGTGGCGCAATGCGGTCGTCAACGGACGGCGAAAAACTCCCGACTTGTTCAGCAAACTGCACGCGAATGATGGCAAACTGGCAAAAACATCGAAGATTAGCGAATGCTTTCCCTACGCGGGAGTAAGAGAGGGGTGAGGGGGGGGGGGGAGAGGAAGGGGGAGAAACCTATTGTCTTTTGACAGATTACTCCAAAGAAAATTTGTATTTCTCCAAGACATAAAAGAGTATTTACTACGCGCTAAGCTATATACTAGTGTGAGTCAAAAATAATGAGAACATCCATCTCTTTTTGAACCTATCCTCAAATTGGGTAGAATGTGTGTAGGCAAGTGCTCTTAATGGTGTCCGACACGGATTTTCTTTCTCTTTCCAACAGCTATAATTTTCAACCAAATCACTTCGTAAATGCAGAAATATTTGCAGAAATTTTGAACCCAAAGCGTTTTCCGTTCAAAATCTGTGGTTTTTTCAAGCTTGGCAAAAAATTCTAGATTGTGATTTGAAGCGGTAAACGCTTGATTACCTTGCAAAATCAAGGTTAAATGATAAACTATTGTCGAAGCTCTCGAATTCACGATTTTGTAGGGTTTAACGCATTTTTGTTTTGAGCCATTTTTTGAAAAGTTGGGGCTTTTGAAAAAATAATTTTCAAAGAGCTCAAAATGCTAGTTTCGAGATACCCAAACAGATAGTTTGCATCAAACAGAACCTGCTTTGTCTCTATGTTAGCGAATTTGTTCGAAAACCTCAAAATGAAAATTCTGAGGATTAGCTAAACTTCATCAAAGCAAAAATGACGGGTTCAAAATTTGGGAAAATTCTTCGTTAACTAGGAAGTCAACTGAGCCATTCGCCTCACTGCTGAAAAGAGAAAGAAAATCTGAGTTTTATACAATTTAGGGTACTCTCCTATCGCTATTCTACACGGGTTGCGGAACGTTCGAAATGTGGAGCCAAAAGTTCTCATTACTTTCGACTCAACCTAATATATGGATAGGTACAGATTTGATGCAGAATTTTACTTTGAGACGTAATTGCAGAAACACCAAAATTATGACTGAGGCAAGCTTGCTAATATTCATAAAAAAAAAGGGATATCAGCATAAAAGGAAATTGAGACAATAGAAGGAAAGTGTGTCATTATCAAAGATAAATAAGTTTTTTTTACTGTTGCTATCGCTCCTGCTTTTCCGCTCGTTTATTTCCTATTTATGACGCATCTTGTGCACATCAAGATGAACTAGTAGATGATAGGACATTACTGACAGGTGAAAAGAGCGTGTCTATAAAAAATGTGAAATGTTTCTGCAGAGACCAGTGTTTGGCACTATAAATGTTGGATAATTGTTGTGCACTTCAACAAAAATGCGAAAAAGTAGAAAAAGGTAAAATTCGCAATGGTTGAAAGTACATTTTACATATGCACAGAATGAGAAGCAGGTGATATTCAATAATCAAGTAATGCACTAACGATTCAGTTAAATAGTAGTCCCTGCTCAGGGGAATAACCAATCATACAAAAAGCTGATACAACATTCACTTTAAAAGCATAATGTGATAGAGTTATGGCAAATGAAACGAATAATTAATGAGTCCGGGGATCTAAAACAAGCAAAAAGCTTTCAAACTCCAGCAACTGAAAAGTTGGCAAGAAGTTCAAGAATGTCTGCGCATAAAGCAACTCAAGGGCATTGACGCCCACGCAGCCGCCGCGCCTGCCTTCTAGCACGAAATAATCGAGCGCTTCTAAATTTGGCCGAGTTGAGATCGACCTTACCGATAGCTACATCAAAATCAAGGACATTACAATAACATCAAGCTAAAATGATCGCTATAGAATCGTCCTCCAACATGCAAAAAATGTCGCCGATGCTGAGGAGTTTTATGATGTGAGCATTTCTATTAATTCGTCATCGAAAAGTCACAAAAGGTTTCTCCTTTTTTTGGGACTATTGAAAGAGGGCAAACTGCGTTCCTTTCTGCAGTGAGAAAAATATCTGCGGGCGGAAACTATTGACGTACGATGCGAAAGTTGGGGAGGCG